GAGAGAGAGAGAGTGTCATGTATATCTAACTTTTAATCTGTGTTCCTTTGATCGTCTTTGTAAATCTGAGTATACATATGTCTTACGACTATGAGCATGTATACATTAAGGCGTCTGTATCTAGAATGTATACCTCCAGTATTTATCTGTATCGCGGCTATACATTCTCTTAGGTATCCTAGTGAGCGTGAAAACAAATGAACATCGAATATAAACAGTGGCGGAAAGTCGCGCGGAAGGATACATTAATACGAGGAGTCACAGGGCTGCGCTTATTATCCTGTCCTGAGAGTCGTGTAGTAGTGTAGAAATGCTGTGGTGTGGTGTTTTTTTTGGGTGTGTGCTCTCAGATGCAGTAGTCACAGGGCCATGCTATTATCCTTATCCTGAGAGTCGTGTAGTAGCGCAGAACAGCTCTCAGGTGCAGTAGTCACAGGGCCATGCTATTATCCTTATCCTGAGAGTCGTGGTTGTGGTGTTTTCCTATCCTGAGAGTCGTGTAGTAGCGCAGAACAGCTCTCAGGTGCAGTAGTCACAGGGCCATGCTATTATCCTTATCCTGAGAGTCGTGTGAGTAGACAGCTCTCAGGTGCAGTAGTCACAGGCCATGCTATTATCCTATCCTGGAGAGTCGTGTAGTAGCGCAGAACAGCCTCAGGTGCAGTAGTCACAGGGCCATGCTATTATCCTTATCCTGAGAGTCGTAGTGGGGTGGGTGTTTTCCTTATCCTGAGAGTCGTAGTAACAGCTCAGGTGGTAGTCACAGGGCCATGCTATTATCCTATCCTGGAGTGTGTGAGCTTGTGGGTGGTGCTATTATCCTATCTGAGAGTCGTAGTATACAGCTCTCAGGCAGTAGTCACAGGGCCATGCTATTATCCTTATCCTGAGAGTCGTGTAGTAGGCGTAGAACAGCCTCGTGCAGTGCAGTCACAGGGCCATGCTATTATCCTTATCCTGAGAGTCGTAGTATACAGCCTCAGGTGCAGTAGTCACAGGGCCATGCTATTATCCTTATCCTGAGAGTCGTGTATCAGCTCTCGTGCAGTAGTCACGGGCTGCTATTCCTTTCCTGAGAGTCGTGTAGTATGTAGAACAGCTCTCAGATGTAGTAGGCCATGCTATTATCCTTATCCTGAGGTCGTATACAGCCTCAGTGCAGTAGTCACAGGGCCATGCTATTATCCTTATCCTGAGAGTCGTGTAGTAGCGCAGAACAGCTCTCAGGTGCAGTAGCTCAGGGCCATGCTATTATCCTTGTCCTGAGAGTCGTAGTATACAGCCTCAGATGCAGTAGTCAAGGCCATATCCTATCCTGAGGTCGTGTAGTATACAGCTCTCAGGATGCAGTAGTCACAGGGCCATGCTATTATCCTTATCCTGAGAGTCGTGTAGTAGCGTAGAACAGCCTCAGGTGCAGTAGTCACAGGGGCCATGCTATTATCCTTATCCTGAGAGTCGTAGTAGCGTAGAACAGCTCTCAGGTGCAGTAGTCACAGGGCCACATTATCTTTATCCTGAGAGTCGTGTAGTAGCGTAGAACAGCTCTCAGGTGCAGTAGTCACAGGGCCATGCTATTATCCTTATCCTGAGAGTCGTGTAGTAGCGTAGAACAGCTCTCAGGTGCAGTAGTCACAGGGCCATGCTATTATCCTTATCCTGAGAGTCGTGTAGTAGCGTAGAACAGCTCTCAGGTGCAGTAGTCACAGGGCCATGCTATTATCCTTATCCTGAGAGTCGTGTAGTAGCGTAGAACAGCTCTCAGGTGCAGTAGTCACAGGGCCATGCTATTATCCTTATCCTGAGAGTCGTGTAGTAGCGTATAACAGCTCTCAGGTGCAGTAGTCACAGGGCCATACTGCCCCCTTACTGTCAGTTACAGTTCATCCCAGCGACAAACTCCAAATCCTCTTCCCTGGGAGAAGTATTTGAAGGTGGCGTCACACAGGGTTGTAAGCTGTAGCCTAAGGCCTTATTGAGTGAGTGATTGTGGTTGTATTTTCACACTTGAATTGTATTACTGATGTGTATTTTTGTTGTGATTGTTAGCTATTGTTTTTAGTTTTTATATATTGCTTTTCTTATTTTTTTCATATTTATCTATTTTATCCATTCCCTTTATATTATTTTCCCTACTATGTTAGAACCTTTCGGAAGTCTTAGCCTATAGCTTGTCAGAGGGGAGATGATGATGACACTAATAATAATAAGTAATAATAATAATAAGTAATAATAATAATAAGTAATAATAATAATTAATTGTAGTGGTAATAAGTAATATTCATAATGGTTCAAAACAATATATTCCTTTATATAATTCATAATAATTTTTTAGTAAGATCAGATATCAGATCAGATATCACGCCTATCCTGGAGTTTAAACACATTATAATATCACAACTTCAAACACCTGTTAATTTAGTCAGGTGTCTCCGGTATGTTGATATTTATTAACTTTGTCCTTTCATTCTTTTTTTTTTTTGTTATACAGAGAATGAAACAGATGGCAACGGGACTGAAGGTAAAGGTGTGTGTGTGTGTGTTTATCTAACCTAGCATCATGTGTAGTAATTTAACCTTGTGTTTGGTCTGTTGTTGTTCAGCTGTCTGTAGCCTCGCCCAGGAGATGTACACGAGGCTACTGTCGCTCTAGACTAGCCTTATAGTGGTCCAGTGATGCTCATCTGTCAGTAGCCTCGTCCAGGAAATGTACAACGAGGCTACTGTCGTTCTAAACTAGCCTTATAGTGGTCCAGTGATGCTCATCTGTCAGTAGCCTCGTCCAGAAGATGTACACGAGGCTACTGTCGCTGTAGAGTAGCCTAGTGGTGGTGCAGTGATGCTAATCTGTCAGTAGCCTCGTCCAGGAGATGTACAACGAGGCTACTTTCACTCTTGAGTAGCCTTATAGTGGTCCAGTGATGCTCAGCTGTCTGTGGCCTCACCCAGGTGATGAAAAGTTGCTAGTACACAGCTGTTAACATCCTAGTGATGTCATCGTGTCTTGTCCTTGGAAATAATCTACTACTACTACTACTACTACTACTAATAATAATAATAATAATAATAATAATAATAATAATAATAATAATAATAATAATAATAATAATACACCTTTTCACATATCCGTTGAGACATTGTTACATAACTATTTGACAAATTTCATAACCGAATGACAGAACACATATCGAATGACAATCTAAAATAACTGTTGGTGGTATGTCATTCTCCAAGTGTTACATTCTCAAACTATATGTAGACTGTCGGTTTATTGTTCACGGCTGTCAACTTCATAACTTATGTCAATCACTTCCGTTAGCATGAACGAACAGTTATTTTACATTTATTCGATGTGTGTTCTGTCATTAGGTTATGAAATTTGTCAAACAGTTATGTAACAATGTCTCAACGGATATGTGAAAAGGTGTAATAACACTAATAATAATAATGATAATAATAATAATAATAATAATCTCACAACGGTGCATCAACTACTAACTACACCACTAATGTTTATACTTACGGTATTTAGTTGCCATTTAAGTGATTTGTACCTAATTGATGAATTTCTTGCTATTAACTTACATTTTATGTTTTGTATCAGTAATTACCGTAATTGCCAAAAACACGATTCATCTACGGCTCTGAGGACTTTTATGGCGGTGTGTAATGGCCCGTCTCATCAACAGAAGTATTATATAAATGGGTTATTTACATCTGATTTATATTCAGATTCAGCCCCTGTAACTGTCCACTGGCTATGAGGTGACATAATAATAAAAATAATAATAATTAACGGTTTATTGAAAGAGCTTGGCAGCCAGAAGGCTGAAAATATACAGTTACATATTTGGGGAATGGGTTTCGAATTACAAATAATATACAAATAACATAAGTGACACAAATAAGACATATAATAACTAGATGGGGAAAAGCTCAAACTACAGTTCATTTCAACATAGTGACAGTGCAAGGAGTAGTGTTTACTGGGAGTGAATACACTGGTTTATTACAAGTTATTGATAATTTTTATGGGACTGGGCTGTTCATGCTTGTGGAGTGTGCGAACAGCAATTCTCGGACTAGGGATCTCAGGTGGTAGTAGGAGCCGGTGTCGGGGATGGTGTAGAAGCTTCTTACCAAATTTGCAGATGAGGTCGGGGTGATGGTCAGTGAGAGTCGAAAGAGTCAGTGTGTTGAGCGCTTCTTGATATGTGGAGTAGGAAGGGGAGAGAATAATCTTGCATGCCCTCTTTTGCACTTTTTCTAGGTGTTTACGTTGTGTGGCATTTAGGAGGAAGACCAGGTGGGGGAGGCATAGGTGAGCTTGGGAAGTATGAATGTTGTGTAAACACTGAGGAGCTTCGTGTGCAGGAACTCCGAGGGACTTGAGTCGGCGAGGAGGTGAGACGGAAACTGGAGGATTTGACAACTTCACTGACGTGTGGTTTCCAATTTAGTTTGTTGTCTATGGTGACGCCGAGGAGCTTCGTGGAATCTACAACCTGGAGTGTGTTCGGACCTAGAGTAATGGAAGGAGGTGGGACAATGTCGGAGGAGAGGTTGATGTGCATAACCATGGTCTTGGTATGGTTGATGGTGACATGGTTGTTGGTGGCCCAGTTTTGGAGACTGTTCAATAAATCCTGAAGGGCGGTATAGTTGGGAGCAGAATTGTTAACGCTGATCCCAATGGTGGAGTCGTCGACATATTTCCAGCGAGCAGGGGTTTCTCTTAGGGCATCATTGATGAGCATAAGGAAGCAGAGTGGTCCCATCTTGGTGCCTTGGGGGACGCCACAGGTGAGTGACTGAAAGGTGGAGACAGCCCCTCAGAAGCGTACAGCTTGGCGTCGGTCATTGAGGAAGTCTGTAAGCCATGGTATAAGACTTCTCCGAAGCCCGAGGTCAATAGCTTTGTTGATGATTATATTGTGGTCGACTAGGTCGAACGCTTTAGTGAAATCAATGAAGGCGACAGCTACAGACGTTTTTCGTTTCTCGAGATGGCGGTATATGTAATCGAGAAAGCTGACAAGACAGTGAGTGGTGGAGGAAGTTTTCATGTTGCCAAATTGCTGAGGGTCTACGACTCCTGCAACATCAGCATAAGCCCAGTCGAACACAAAACTTTCACAGATTAGGCTGGGTATTGGGGTGATTGCAATAGGTCGTAGCTGATTTAAGGATAAGGTGATAAGGTGTGCCCACAGGAAGCTGCGTCATACTATGCTGAGTAAAGGCATAAGTAGCTGGCTCCTGGCCACCTAAAGCGAGCAATAGTTTGATATCCTTGACTAGAGGAAGACGTTATTTGAGAGCCGCAGTGGATGGCTCCGTCTTCCCTCAAGGGAGAACGATGTAACTATTCCGTTCTCCCTCGATAGGTCACTACTCAGTCACTCACACCAACTAATATCGAACGGACGTTGATTCACGTTTATATACATAAACGCCGTCCCTTTCTCATCATACTCATAAATAGTGGAACTTACGGTTGATCTACACTCAGGAATTATATACATAATACTTTTCTAATAAAACAAGAAACTTCAATTGGGTTTCGTTATTAAGCCCAATATAATATATGTGAACCAACCTGGTTAATTGGGAATTAACCAACCGGTTCAGGTGTTTCATCCCTTAAATACCAAAGTGGTTATATAATTTTGGTGGTACTAACATCAAAAGACGTCAGAAACCGTTGAATGTGAGGACTAGTTTATGATGAACAGTTCGGACCAAAATTCTCTGGACACTTGGTAATATCTGACATCTACTTGTGGGTCATTGGTATATAATGCAATGCTTCTTACCTACACGACCCTGAAGTAGGTAATGCGACATATTGCCAACTGATCAGGGATTTTTTTCAGGAAAGACATTAAAACACATTACTTCACTCTTTAACAACAAAAGACGGTGGCACTAATGTTGAAATATAATTGAAAGTGTCTGTAACTGTTGAAATATATATAAAAAAAATATCAAGTGCTGAAATAGACGTTAAAGTGACAAATTTCGCTGTATGTTTCGGGTACGTGTGGTAACCGGAATTTCATTTGCATATCCAATCCCGAACGTCGTATTTCAGTGGTAAATGGAAAGGACAAAAGGCACATCACCTTTAATTAGTACGATTACTTGGGATTTGGCCTAAATATATGAATAGATTTCCTCAAAAAGCGAAGGGATGGGAATTTAGCGAGGCATCCTCACTTGTAAATGTTTACCCTGGAGGAATCATAGAAAACCAGGCTCTTATGGTGACACTTTAGGGCCAACTCATAAAAACTGGCCCATTCACTGTGCCTCCAACGCTCAATACACTCTACTCTGATGGTAGCTTTAGGTTCGTGTCTTTTTTATCGTTTGTGTTGATATTCAATTAATATTTGCTTCTTACGTCATTTGAAAAGTTTTAATATCTAATATCTTGTTCACTCGTGTCCCTTAGTACAGTAATAGCAACAAAGTGACTACGATAATTATAGCCTCGTATCAGTTATATTCCTAAAGGGGCTATTGATTCCCTAAGAAAGAGCATTCAACTCCTTTATCCATTAGTTCCTAAACAGATGAAACCAGTGTTACAAATGGTTTTTAATTCCTCAGCAATATTAGCTGCAGTGTGTGCTTCCTGCATCCTAATTGTCTCCAGTACCACCGACTTTAATTCCCATGTCGGCGAAATGAAGTGAGCTGTTACTGTGATGAATCCTTTTGTAGTTCTAGAGGTCCATATGTCTGTGGTCAGTGAGACAGCATTTGTGTTCTCCAACTCTTTCTTTACTCTTGTAACTTCCTGGTCGTAAATGTTGGGAAGGTGGGTTCTTGTTAATTCTCGCCGACTAGGGAGTTCATATCGTGGATCCAATACACTGACTAGACGTTTAAACGCTTTGTCATCCACCACTGAAAACGGATGTCGATCTTGGACGATCATTTGCATGACAATTTGGTCCAATTCTCTCTTCCTAGAAGAATCTACTTTGTAAGTTTTCTTCTTGTTGATTGTTTCAAGCAAAGTTGGTTGGTTGTCATAGGTTTATTTTTGCCTGATTTTTCTGCCAGCTCCAGCACACGTCCTTCTTGGAATTCTGCATACTGTTGGATGTTTGGTGCGTTTATGTTTTGTCAAGGATGAAGTGCTACCGCAGTATTTGAAGCTGGCTTTACAGACGACACAAACAACACTTCCTGGGTCATATTTGTTTTCATGCGAGTCCACATAGGGCTCGTCCTTGTTCTTTTAGACGCCATGAGAGAGAGAGACTCTCTCTTTCGTTTTGAACATTAAGCAAAACTTTCTCCATATTCATATAGTATAACTATACACTCCAGCTACAAAAAGAGGTACTAGTGTTGCACTAGAACCCATTTGCATCGAACCATCGACACCCACCCTCTGGGGCCTCTGACATAAATGATGAAAGGACTGGCAGTGGAGTGACTCAACTACGCATTCATGAGCGACTGAGCGCGAGGTTGGCCCTAGGCCGCTGCGCTGGCAGAGTACACTCGCACTGCCACTGTCCGTCACAACGGCTACGCTCCAGTGCGGTGCCACAGGGGAACAGGGTAAGGCGGTCGGCAACTCACTGTAGTGTTAGTGGAATCGCTTCATGGGAACCGGTTCCCAAATTGGAAACCGATTCTGAGGTAGTTAATCAGATACTGGGATCAGCAGTGACATAGCGAGTTTGCGGATGACACCAAAATAAGGCGGCAGATTTATTCAGGGCAGGATGCAAATGCATTACAAGGGGATTTAAATAAACTGCAGGAGTGGTCAGAATGGCAAATGAAATTCAACACCAGCAAGTGCAGCTGTGAAGGCGGATTGCCATTGGTGCTCCTACGATTTATTTTAAGTTTATCACCGAGTTTACGTGTAAGACGATCATTCTCTCCACTTGTAACTAAGGTATTGTACTCTCGGACATGGCGCGCCCCAAAGTCTTAAACTACTGAAACCTTTAGGTAAGTCTTAAGCTAGGCTTACCAGGGCTCCGCCCCCGGATAGAGGTTAGTTAAGGTTGTTTTGTTTGGTTAGATGACTCGTTTTCTCCCCCACCCTAAAACCTCGATTTCCCAGGCTCTCCCCCTTTATTGTGGGGGGGGGGGGGAGAGGCAAAAATTGGCAATTTCCGCCAAAAATGAAGGTCAGATTCGTTTAAAACAGACCAAAATACACCGGAAAAACATAGTGGTCAACCCCCAAGAACTCGAGTCCTAAAGTAAATATTTACCGTGATTTTTTTTATTGATGATAATCCTAAATATATTTTTTATAACTTTTTATTGATATTATTATAGTCATTAAATTATCTGTATACTGTCACCCACTGTACAGCCTTAATGACGGATTATTAATGAATAGTTGAAGTATAATAAAAAATAATTACTGAATGATATAATGAGATTATTTAAAGTCTCGGTATAATAAAATAATAATTCAAGGATATACGATAATTAGCTCATTATAGGAAAGAAATGTCATGTTGATAATTTTGTTGACGAGGCGACGACATAACAGGTGCAGGATAATTAGAGGGAATTTAATGAGGTACAGCTCTTAATATGATAAGACTGTAATCTGGCCTTTAGTTAAGAATTATTATATTATGAAATATTTGGGCTATCCGAGAGTAAAAGTAGCCCATCCTGATACTATGTAGCCAAGTATGTGTCTTGTCAGAGGAAAATGTTTTATGAAATTTCCAAAATGTTTTATCGCCTTTTATGTTGGTTGAGCGAATATTACTATTTCATAACATTGTCGTTCTCTTGGTTAAAGTTAGATTGGGTTTCTGGTTAATGTTTTTGACATTTTAACATTGTCATTCTGGTGGTTAAGGTTAGGTTTTTGGTTAGTGTTCCTATGCTATAACGTTGTTTTTTTATGGTTAGGTTATGTCAGGTTTTCTCTGGTTAATGTTCTGATATTATAACATTGCCGTATTCGTGGTTAAAGTTACGTATTCTTTGGTTAATGTTCCGATATCGTCACATATTGGCAAAGGGTTGTAAAATATCGGTAACTGGAGTATTTACAATTCTATTTGGTTAATGTTGTGGTATCGTAGTTGTAGCCTCTGACCTCACTATCACCACTCTAAAACATGGGTGCGGTGGTCTAGTGGATATAGAACTCTCTTTGTTTTGAGGATTGTTGGTTCGCGTTCAGGAGCCCCTAGTCGCCCTATTTGTGGATGGGTTCCTAACTTAACAGATGGGGAAAGGAAAGCGAGCGAGTACAGTGTTGATATACAGTAGTTTGCCTCGTCCCACGTATTACACAACCTTACTACTGTACTTATTAAATTGTCCCTTTAATAACTACTGTAATTTTTTATATTAGAACATTGTTGTAATTTCTGAAACCCTGTATTTTGTAACTATGAAAAAAAGTTTCTAATGTTGGTTACCGTAAATTCTAAACTTTCCTCGGCCCTCTGTATTTTTTAGAGATTATGTAGTTTGAAAATAAAACTTTGGTGAGTTTAGATGAAATTAGGGCAGGGCAGGGCAGGGCAGGCCAGGGCAGGCCAGGGCAGGGCAGGCCAGGGCAGGCCAGGGCAGGGCAGGGCAGGCCAGGCCAGGGCAGGGCAGGCCATATTAGTACAGTATTGTTGTAAGGGTTTGTGTAAGTTCCGGATTCTGTTCTGAGCATTAGTCTGTCTCCTTTGATCCTCTTTATGGAAACACTACAGCTTGTTCTTATTACCGCGGCAAATTAACCACTATGTTTACTCTCTGTTGCAGTTTAAAGACTAAAATCACCTGGTATCTGATTAATTCTATCAACAGATGTCCCGAAGACTGATGCTATTATATCTTGTGTTTCAGACTAAGTTCCAGCGCACTTTGAGTAAGGATAGCAAGATGACGCGGAGGAAAGATGTACTGATGGATGGAGTCAGAAGCAACTCGCATCCAGGCAAGTCTACCCTTAATTTCTTTTTATCGTTTTCTCTGATAGTTACGTTTTCTTTTCCGTTTTCACTGATTTACTTTTAAGTGGCCCTCTTGTTGTTTATATACGTTTTGTGTTTTCACTTAATATCCCTTCTGTTTTCTCTAGTCAAGTCTTCCTTCTTGTTTTCCGTTATTCTTAAGTCTCTCTCCAGTTCTGTTATCGTTTTGTCACGATTTGTTAAACCATTTCAGGCTTTTATTAATGTTCCACAAGACAAGTTTTTTTTTTCATTTTACACTGATGTTTTTTGTTCATTGTTCCACCAGTCAAGAGTTTGTTTATTGTTCCACTGATTTCTATTCTTCATTGTTCCATCAGCAAAGTTCTCATCTTCTTGTTAGGTGTTCATTTAAGGTCTCTACTTGTCCATTGTTCAATTAAGGTCTTCTTGTTCATCATGTTCATTTAAGCCATAAGGTTTCTTCTCATTGTTCATTTAAAGTCTCTTCTTTTTCATTGTTCACTCGAGGTCTCTTGTTCATTGTTCAGGTCACTATATAGAGTACAAACGTAAAGCACCTCCCCACGCCCTACCACCTCTCCCACGCCCTACCACCTCTCCCACGCCCTACCACCACCTCCTCCTCCACGCCCTACCTCCTCCTCCTCCCTCCTCCTCCTCCACGCCCTACCTCCTCCTCCGCCCTACCTCCTCCTCCTCCCGCCCTCCACCTCCTCCTCCCGCCCCACCACCTCCCCCACGCCTCCCTCCTCCTCCTCCTCCACGCCCTACCTCCCTCCTCCTCCACGCCCTACCACCTCCTCCTCCTCCACCCTACCTCCCACCTCCCCACGCCCCACATCCCCCACGCCCTACCACCTCCTCCTCCTCCTCCTCCTCCTCCTCCACGCCCTACCTCCTCCTCCTCCTCCTCCCGCCCTCCCTCCTCCTCCTCCATGCCCTACCTCCTCCTCCTCCCCGCCCTACCACCTCCTCCTCCTCCTCCACGCCCTACCTCTTCCTCCTCCCCCTCCTCACCCCACGCCCTCCACACCCCTCAAATATATAACGTGGGTGACTCGAAGTCGTGGACAATACTTGACTACTTGAGGGACGGTTGCCATGTTGAGAACTGAAATGTTGAGAAGTAAATAATGCGATTGTGTTTACGTTTGTTAATAATAATAATAATAATAATAATAATAATAATAGTAATAATAATAATAATAATAATATACAAATGACAATAGACATATTAATGGGTTAGTTTACTTAAGAATAAATATTACTGAAACAAGAAAGTGATATTACCTCTGGATGACTGTCTTCAAGTTCTCGCTGTAAAAAACTCGACCAAAGTCTTATGAGTCTTAAACTGAATAGTGAATTGAGGGTGAGAGAGCGGTGAGAGGAAGATAAGAGGAGGATGAGGAGAGAGAGTAGGAGGAGAATAGATAAAAAGGAAGAGAGGAAGGCGTGATAAACAAGGGAGGAGAGGAGAGAGTAAAGATTTAACCCCTAAGAGATTCTCAAAAATCCTAAAATATTTATATATTTTCATCTTAGCGGGAATAAAATTAGATATTTGGTTACAATAGTCTTGGTGAGATTAAGACGCCATTTTGATCACCAGTATGTGAGTCGTGAACCATTTAGATGCTCATTAATATCACCAAGTTTGTGTTTTGAGAATTGGTGATTGTATCGAATGCTAAGCGAGTCCGATACGTTCTCATATCACCAGTTAGGAGGTCGTGCTGGTGACTTGCCTTGTTTTGGTGACTACATATACCCTTTCCTGTCCTCTGTATTGGTGATTTTAGGGCTTTCGTGTGTATTTCTCATGACTGTAATGGTGATTGGAGGTGAATATTATATTACTGGTGATCATATTGGTGGTTCTAACACTCTTGGTGACTGTATCAACTGTGTTATGTCCCTTTGGTGAACCGTCTTGGTGATTTATGTATACCTTCCTCTCTGGTGACTGTAAATGTGTTCTTGCCTGGTGACTTAAACCCTCCCTTCCTGGTGACTTGTGTTTCTCCTTGGTAATCGTATCATAGTCTCCCTTCCTGTTTCTGGTGGTTGGTGATCGTGGTGCTGAAGACTCTCTCTCTCTCTCTCTCTCTCTGTGGTGACAATTATCTCCTTCCCAAGTAACCGCACCAAACCAATGTAATCCCCCTAAAAAAAAAAAAACATTCTCCCTTCCTTTCCCTTCCTGGTGATTGATTGCTTGCTTGGTGATCCTCCCCCTGATGATGATAACAGACGTGAGCGTCGACCGACAGGACAGCACGACGGACTACGCAGCGGATAACTCGTCAGCCGAACAATCGTCCACGGGCACACCTCTTACCATGTCCCCTAGGCGAGGTGTCCTGCTCGCCTCCCGTCACACCTCCCATGGTAACAACGCCACCTTCTCCTCCCACATAATGCGTTCTTGTAGTCATGCTTATTATTATTTTTTTTTTGGGGATGTTTTAGAGTAGTGTTTTATGGTGTTTTAGTGTAGTGTTTTAGTGTAGTGTTTTACGGTGTTTTAGAATAGTGTTTTAGAATAGTGTTTTATGGTGTTTTAGAGTAGTGTTTTATGGTGTTTTAGAGTAGTGTTTTATGGTAGTGTTTTATGGTGTTTTAGTGTCGTGTTTTATGGTCTTTTAGAGTAGTGTTTTATGGTCTTTTAGAGTAGTGTTTTATGGTCTTTTAGAGTAGTGTTTTATGGTGTTTTAGTGTAGTGTTTTATGGTCTTTTAGAGTAGCGTTTTGTGGTGTTTTAGAATAGTGTTTTATGGTGTTTTGTAGTGTTTCATGGTAGTGTTTTATGGTGTTTTATAGTGTTTTATGGTGTTTTAGGGTAGTGTTTTATGGTGTTTTAGAGTAGTGTTTTAGTGTAGTGTTTTATGGTGTTTTAGAGTAGTGTTTTAGTGTAGTGTTTTATGGTGTTTTGGTGTAGTGTTTTATGGTCTTTTAGAGTAGTGTTTTGTGGTGTTTTAGAATAGTGTTTTATGGTGTTTTGTAGTGTTTCATGGTAGTGTTTTATGGTGTTTTATAGTGTTTTATGGTGTTTTAGGGTAGTGTTTTATGGTGTTTTAGAGTAGTGTTTTATGGTCTTTTTAGAGAATATGTGTTTTATGTGTTTTAAGTAGTTTTATAGTGTTTTAAGTAGTATTTTAGTGTAGTGTTTTATGGTAGTTTGGTGTAGTATTTTGTTCTTTTTAGTGTTTTAGTGTAGTGTTATATGGTGTTTAGAGTAGTGTTTTAGTGTAGTGTTTTATGGTGTTTAGAGTAGTGTTTTATGGTGTTTTAGAGTAGTGTTTTAGAATAGTGTTTTATGGTGTTTTAGTGTAGTGTTTTATGGTGTTTTAGAGTAGTGTTTTAGTGTAGTGTTATATGGTGTTTTAGAGTAGTGTTTTAGTGTAGTGTTTTATGGTGTTTTAGAGTAGTGTTTTAGTGTAGTGTTTTATGGTGTTTTAGAGTAGTGTTTTACGGTGTTTTAGAATAGTTTTTTATGGTGTTTTGTAGTGTTTTATGGGAGTGTTTTATGGTGTTTTATAGTGTTTTATGGTGTTTTAGTGTAGTGTTTTATGGTCTTTTAGAGTAGTGTTTTATGGTGTTTTAGAATAGTGTTTTATGGTGTTTTAGAGTAGCTTTTAAAGTAGTTTTTACAGTGTTTGCGAGTGTTTTAAATTTACTGTGTTTTAGGGGACCGTTTTATGGTGTTTCAGAGTAGAGTTTTAAGGTGTTTTACTCTAGTGTTTTAAGAGGTTTGGTTACGTGTTCTAAGTAGAGTTCTAAAGTATTTTAGGGTGATTTAAAGTAGTGTTTTAGAGGAGTGTTTTAGAGTAACATTAGAGAAGTTTTTGTGTGTTTTAATGTAGTTTTTTGCATGTTGGTAGCTCTTTTTACATGCTTTAGATGTTTGTTTTACACGGTGTAAATTTCATGTGGTAAAGCTTTTTTTTCGTTTATTTTAAGGGTTTTAAATTAGAGCCTGTATTGATTTACATAATTATCCTTTATTTCTTTAAAGGGAGTTTTTTTTACGCCTTGTAGAATATTATTTGTAAATATTAAGGCTGTTATTTACACGTAGACTTAATTTACATTTAAGAGGAACTATTTTTCATATTAGGATCTTTTTTTACAGGTAACTAACCTTTTTTTTACGCTGTTTACAATACATTATCCCTTTTCCTCTTCCTCGTCAGTCTCGCCTCCTCCTTCCTCTTCCTCCTTCCTCTTCCTCTTCCTCCTCCTTCCTCTTCCTCCTCCTCCTTCCTCTTCCTCTCGACGCTATCAGCTTACAGTTAATGTACCTCACTGTACTTTGTTTTCAGCAGATGTAATACTTGTAAATCAGAAATGTACTCTTACTGTACTGTACTATTAAGGTGTACTTTTTTACAACCTGGTGTTTACGTATTCCTGTACTTTACTGTAACGTGGACCCTGTAAGTGTATGTTTATTTACTTGTTTTAATTTACAGTTGTGCAGTAAGTTTGTAGTTATAGGGTAAATTAAAAGGGAATTTACACGTTTATTGGGATAAATTTACACTTGTTTTAAGGTAAATTTACTTAAGTGGTTTAATTTACAGATTATATGGAGGTAATGTAAATTTGTATGTTTGGGTTATTTTACAGGTGTTTTGGAGTGAATTTACAAGCGTTAAAAATTTACAGGTGTTTTAGTTAATTTACAAGTGTTTTACGTAATTTACAGTTATTTACCGTGTATTCGAGTTAATTTACAGACGTAAAAATTTATTTACATGTGTTATACATAATTTACATGCGTTAGGGTAGATTTACAGATGTTTTACAATAAATTCACAGGTGTTGTAAAATATTTCAGTTTACAAATCATAATTAAAAACAACAAAAATTAATAAACCCTCGGAAAATAAATTAGATATATCATCATTTAATTAATAAGAGTGACGCTGAGTGGACCAATATTGCGTTAATGAGGGGCTGGTTGTGCTTCCGGCGATGGATGTTGAGAGACGCAGTGAGGTAAAAATTTCCCTCCTGTGGGAATAATCCTTTTCCGATTGGTCAGCAAGTCAGGTTAAGTAGGTAATGGTCTGACTAATGTAGGTAGGATATTTGGTACGATGTTTTAGCCCCTTGAGTACGATGTTTTAGCCCCTTGAGTACGATGTTTTAGCCCCTTGAGTATGATTGGGTCTGATTGGCTGTTCTAGACCACCCAGTCAATGTAAAGAAAGAACCATCTAAAAGAGAGGTCCTGATTGGCTGTTGCAGAGGAGTTAGCCCCGCCCACGTCACCAGTAGACTATAAAGGTCCCTCGCAGACCAGGTGTGCGGTAGATAGCGATATACCGCCCATCAGTAAGGACTTGAGCTCTGATGGTGAAGTATAACCTTGTGTTGGGTTTTGGTGGACGGTTGAGGGTGGCTTTGGTGTGGTTTAGGTTGGTTTTATCATGGTGACGGGGTTTTGGTTTAATTTTGTTTTTCGTGGGTTTTACTGCTATTGTTTGAGGTGTGTGTGTTAGAAAATGTTGCTTGTTTATTTGTTTTGATGGTATAATGTGTTTGTTTTTATGTGTTTTAAGAAACCATTGTTATTTTTGTGTTAAAAGATACACATTGTTGTTGTTTTTGTGTTGTGTGTTTGGAAGTTTGTTTGCTTGGTGGTGTTTTATTATGGTGTTTGTGTGAAATACTGAGGTGTTTTATTGTGTTTGTGAGACTATGTTAAACTGATGGTGGGTTCGTTTGGTTAATGTTTAGGAAAAGGTTATTACACACACACACACACACACACACACACACACACATCCCTGGCCACTCTAACCCACCAAAACACATCCCTGGCCACTGTAACCCACCAAAGCACATCCTTGGCCACTGTAACCCACTAAAACACATCCCCTGGCCACTCTAACCCACCAAAACACATCCCTGGCCACTGTAACCCACCAAAACACATCCTGGCCACTCTAACTGCCTAACACCCACCAAAACACATCCTTGGCCACTGTAACCCACCAAAACACATCCCTGGCCACGCTAACCCACTAAACACACATCTCCTGGCCACTCTAACCCACCAAAACACATCCTGGCCACTGTAACCCACTAAAACACATCCCTGGCCACGCTAACCCACTAAAACACATCCCCTGGCCACTGTAACCCACCAAAACACATCCTGGCTACTGTAAATCACCAAAACACATCCCCTGGTCACTGTAACCCACCAAAACACCTCCCCTGGCTACTGTAACCCACTTAAACACATCCCCTGGCCACTGTAACCCACCAAAACATTACTTCTGGCCACTGTAACCACCAAAACACATCCCTGGCCACTGTAACCCACCAAAACATCCCTGGCCACGCTAACCCAGTAAAACACACATCCTTGGCCATTGTAACGCAAAACACATTCGGCCACTATAACCCACCAAAACACATTCGGCCACTCTAGCCCACCAAACACATTCCTGGCCACTCTAGCCCACTAAAACACATCCTTGGCCACTGTAACCCACCAAAACACATCACCTGGCCACTGTAACCCATCAAAACACACCCCCTGGCCATTCTAACCCACCGAAACACATTCCTGGCCACTCTAACCCACCAAAACATCCCTGGCCACACTAACCCACTAAAACACATCCCTGGCCACAGTAACCCATCAAAACACATCCCTGGCCATTAGCACACCCTAAAACACATCCCAACCCCCTAAAACACATCCCTTGGTCACTCTTACCCACCAAAACACACCTCTAGCCACTGTAACCCACCAAAACACACCCCAACCCATTGTAACCCACCAAAACACACCCCAACCCATTGTAACCCACCAAAACACACTCCAACCCACTGTAACCACCAAAACACACCTTACCCACTGTAGCCCACCAAAACACACCTCCAACACACTGTAACCCACCAAAGCACACTCCAACACACTGTAACCCACCAAACACACTCTAACCCACTATAACACTTCCAACCCACCAAACACACTCCAACCTACCAAAACACACTCCAACCCACCAAAACACTCCAACCCACCAAAACACACTCCAACCCACCAAAACACACTCCAACCCACTGTAACCCACCAAAACACACTCCAACCCACTGTAGCCCCACCAAAACACACTCCAGCCCACTGTAACCCACCAAAACACACTCCAACCCACTGTAACCCACCAAAACACACTCCAACACACTGTAACCCACCAAAACACACTCCAACCCACTGTAACCCACCAAAACACACTCCAACACACTGTAACCCACCAAAACACAGATCACGGGGAATGAACGGGTCCTTTAATGCTCTTCCTCCGGGTTCACTAGAGCCAAGAGGAGGAGGAAAGTGGGGGAGGAAAAAGTTGTGTTGGGGTTAGGTTAGGGTTCATTCTTGTTGTGGTTCGTCTTTCCCTTAAATTGACAGACAGACAGACACAGATCGACAGATAATTAGATAGATAGATAGGTAGATAGATAGACAGATATTCAGCAAAATCACCATACAGGTTTACATAGAATCACCTTGTATATAGACAGTACTGTACTGCTTTACAATAGTCAACAGTACAGGTCTTCCAGTCGTCTCCTGTGTATGTAAGGGAAGTTTTCTCTCTTGTAAACCCTCAGCTCTTAAGTGTAAACCCTCAGCTCTTAAGTGTAAACCCTCAGCTCTTAAGTGTAAACCCCAGCTCTTAAGTGTAAACCCCAGCTCTTAAGTGTAAACCTAAACATCTAGTCTGGTATCCTTGATTTTGCTTACTTGCGATAATGTCTTAGTTTGTATTAAGTTGGATGAGTAATTATTTAGGATTTGTTAAGTAATTAGATGTGATTTGTTATGTGATTGATCTTTTATTTATTTATTTATTTGTTTGTTTTTAGTTCTATGAGATATAGATGGCGCCCTCAAGCCACAAGGACATGTAACACCTTAATACAGTTTTCATCTTAACATCTGTTCCTCCTCCTTCAGACACGTCCGGGGGAGGTACCTTTCCCGGGGGTGAGTCTGGGGACCAAGGTAGTGTCCCCAGCGGCGCCCATCTGTCCAGCCTCACGCCGCCCACGCCCGCCCGTTTCCGTCACAACAGCCAAGACGCTCGTTCCCATTCGCCAGAGAGCGAAACGTCGCATCAACAGAACCAGGTAAGGGAGGAAGGGAGGGAGGGTGGGTAGCTGTCTCCTGTGTTTGGGCCCAGTTGTGTTTTTATTTTTATTTTGGGGCCGTTTTTCTGTCGTTTTTATGGTATTGTGTAAATGTCGTTTTTGTCGTTTTTGTATTTTGGGGCTTTTTTGTCGTTTTTATATCAGGCTTAATGCTTTTTTTTTGCTTTTTTTAAGCTTTTGTGTTGTTAAATTGTCTATATTGCGTGATTTTAGTATTTTGAGGCCGATTTTAGGTCGTTTTTATGGCATTGTCAAGTTTAAATGTCTGTTTTTTCCTTTATTTTGGGGATGTGTTTGTATCGTTTTTAAGGCATAAATTGTTTGTTTCTTGAGACAGTATCTTATATATATTTTTTAGGGCTGTTTTACTGTCGTTTATTAAAGCTGATAACTTGTAGGCTTTTTTCTTTAACTTTTTTTACAGCTTTAATCTTGAATAACTCTTTGTCTCTTATAGTTTTGGTCATATATGTCTGAAGCCATTATGTAATCTTGGATGACTCTTGATCTCTTATAATTTTAGCCATATATGTCTGAAGCCATTGTGTAGTCCTGGATGACTCTTGATCTCTTCTAATTTTAGCCATATATGTCTGAAGCCATTGTGTAATCTTGAAGGAGTCTTGGTATCTCTTATGTCTGAAGCCATTATTTTTTTATATCATAACTTTTGGCTCTTTATTAAGCAACAAATATGTAAACAGAGTGAATATTTCTGGGGTGTCGTTGAAGTAACTTTTTTGTCGTGGTTATCGCTTTTTGGGGCTAAAACTTTGTATCGCTTTCTTAGTTATCTCGAAAAGTTGTGATAAAAAGTATAAGTATTTTTAGACGGAAAGTTTAATTGATCGTTAATGATGCAGTGTTGCCAAGAGTTTAAAAGGGCTTGTAATGCAGTGTTGCCAAGGGTTCAGGTTGATTCAGTATTGCCAACTTGTGTAATTTAATGTTGACTGGTGGAGATTATGGTTATGCAGTGTTGCCATCTTTTAGTGTTCAAGTTTATTAGACGTTGATAAGTTTAATGTCACTTTAAACTATGATCTTGCAGTGTTGTAAATTTTCCTCTGTAAGAGTTTTATTTACAAGTCTGCCTGACATGAGTGGTGTTTATTCCCAGCCATGTGTGTTACAAGGGGTATATATTGATAGCCCTGTCTGTCTGTCTGTATCTGTCCGTTCATCCGTCCGTTCGTCTGTTTATCAAATATAGTAATATAATAACAATATAATGCAGTAATATAAAGAGATAAATAAGTATAAAATTTTAAGTAATAATTATTAAGAAAATTATGGAGTTTAATCTCTTGCATTTAGGTGATAATTTTTAAAGGGAATTACCATGTCTATAGGAGTTAGTTAAGGTGATTATTTAAAGAGAATTATTGGGTTTGAGATGCTATTTTAGGTGATAATTTAAAAACCAGGGAATTACTGGGTTATTGAGGTACTGTTGTGGAAATGTGTTCCTATGACCCCTGTAGTAACCCGTGTCTCCAAACGGCATCGTCGCAGTAGTAGTGTCACTGTTTACGAATGAATGGGTATTGGTGGTGTAATGATGGACGTGATTGGTGGAGAGGTTTGCTATAGGTCATAGGTTGGCTGTTTGGAGACGAGGGTTACCACGGGGGGGGGGATAGGAACACATTTCTGCAGCTGTACCATTTTAGGTGATTTTAAGGAGAGAAGTTATTTAAAGTGATAATTCATCTAAAATATATACATTTGCCTCTGAGTTTAGGTAAAAAAGACCTTGTTTTAAGTTATAATTGGAAGTACGAGGACTTGATAGATTATATTAAGCTACTCCTTTAGGTGTATATTTAAGGGAAGGTAATTATTGGATTATTTTAAGGTGATCAATAAGGTGATAATTTTGGGAGGAATTATTAAATTATCGGAGTTACTCATGGTTGTTGTTCCACCGTTTCCTCCTCTTCTTCCTTCTGTTCCCCCACCTCCTGTTCCTCCTCCTCCTCCTCTTCCTCCTCCTCTTCCATTACTTAGGCTTCCAGCAGCGGAACGGTGTGTGAGGTCTGGTCTCAGGAGGTCAGTACTGGAGGTCAACCTTTTACCTCTCGCCTGTCAGCCACCCCACTTCCCTCGCCTGCCAGTTGCCCCTCACCTGTCAGCCGCCCCTTACCTGTCAGTCACCCCTTACCTGTCAGTCACCCCTTACCTGTCAGCCTTGTCACTAGTCAGCCACCCCTCACCTGTGAGCCTTCCCTTACCTGTCAGCCTTCCCTTATCTGTCAGCCTTCCCTTGCCTGTCAGCCTTCACCTTTCCTGTCAGCCTTCCCTTGCCTGTCAGCCGCCCCTTGCCTGTCAGCCGCCCTTGCCTGTCAGCCGCTGCCTGTCAGCCGCCCCTTGCCTGTCAGCCGCCCCCTTGCCTGTCAGCCGCCCCTGTCAGCCGCCCCTTGCCTGTCAGCTGCCCTTGCCTGTCAGCCGCCCCTTGCCTGTCAGTCGCCCTTAACTGTCAGCCTTCTGTCACTAGTCAGCCACCCCTTACCTGTCAGCCTTCCCTTACCTGCCAGCCGCCCCTTATTCTCCCTCCCTCCTACTACTAGTACTATTACCACCACCCTACCACACCCAAACCATCCTACCACACCATTCCACCACACCTACCACACCCTTACCACCATTCCACCACTACCCTACCACACCCTTACCACCATTCCTCCACTACCCTACCACACCCTTACCACCACTACCCTACCACACCCTTACCACCACTACCCTACCACTACCCTACCACACCCTTACCACCACTGCCCTACCACACCCCTACAACCATTCCAGTCCTCCACCACTACCACCACCAGTATGTAACATTGTGGTTGAGTAACAGTACACTAAGCTCTTCCATAGATGAGTCAGGACCCACCTGTAGAAGTTCTCGTCCCCAGCTGTAGTGATGACGACGACCACACACATACAGACTGGAAGGGCTTGTGTGTCCAGCATGTGTTTGGAGTTATTGTCATTTTTGTAATTCACTTAATGACGTGATTTTAAACATTGCATGATATTTCTTAACATGTTTGCAATAAACTGATGTGTGTGATTTCTTGTCGTCGTTATTGCAAGCTTTTTTTCCCATGCTAAGGTTGTTATTGCATACTGTATATATTGTTATTGTTGCAAGCTTTTTTTGATGCTAAGATGAAAGTTTAAACGTTTGTCTCTTGTTTTTGTTGCAAGTTTTTTCCCCATGTTGATTGGTGTTGCATATATTTGTATTTTTCAAAATGTTGCAAGCTTTTCTCCACAATGATACTTGCGCTTACATATGTATTTGTATACATATTTTTATAGTGTATTCTGTAAAGTATAATGCGTATTTTTTACAGGTATTTTTAACTAGTATGACCTAACTAGTTGCTAAGTTTTTAAAAGGACTAGTTAGTTTGTTAGATTAGTACATTAGTTCCCTCTATATGGTACAGCTCGATGGTACAGTGTTCATTGTACCACTTGAGGCGACCGGGGAAATAGTGTGCTAAAAGTGTGAGTGCTAAGAGTGACATACACAGAGGCAAGTGTGTGAGGTATATTATTTATAGTCAAATGAAGAGCAAAATTAATCGTAATATCATTTGAGAATCTGTCGTTTTTGTCGAATCTTAAGTGAATGAGTTTTAAAATTCTTATATTCTGGTTAAAGAATTAAATTGTAACTTACGATCTATTGAGAATTTATCTTTTTATCGTAAATTAAGTGAGCTAATTTGAGTTTTTTTCTCCATTAACTTAGAGATTTATCAATTTTGGTCCTAATGGTTGTGATTCTTAATTTAGTTGTTACTTAAGAATCATACACGACTGACTCTGGCACTCACTGGCACTCACTGGCACTCATAAGAAAGGACTTTGTCTTGTATGCAATAAATTTAAGACTTGGTGTAAATAGATTTTCTCTCTAATCTCTCGACTTTTCTCATTATTTCCTTTTTTCTTGTTTATCTTTGCTTTAATCTTTATTGTTTATTTCTCTTGTTTTTCTCTTTTCTTTCTCATTGTATTTTCTCATCTCTCTCTCTCTCTCTCTCTCTCTCTCTCTCAGAGCATCTGATAAGGCCAGCAGACTTGAAATTAGGATTAGCAGGAGCCAATCTTGATGGTCAAGTGACATCATTAAACCCTCCTGCAGATTAGGAGATTAGGTTGATGAAGCTTAATTGCCTTCCTTCTTTACTCTGATTATCCTCCATTCTTCTCCCTCCCTCTCTATTGTCTTTCCATTCTCATTTTCTCCCCCCCTCCTCCTCTTTCTCTTTCCATTTTTCTCCCTCCCTCCCTCTTGTCTTTCCATTCTCCTGTTCCTCACACCAGTTCAATAATCAGTTATGGCCTCTTGGATTTTGTCAGGGCACAGTGAGGGATAATCATCACGTATTTTGTGTCCTTATTGTACAGTGTAGAGGTAGGAGACTCCACTATCTTCACTACCAACCATAGTTATCTTCCATTTACCTGTTGTTTTCACTGATGAAGATCCCGTAGAGTCAGAATTATAGGTTCTCTGTGAGTAACTTAACTAAATATGGTGTTAAGTTTTGAAACCCGAGAGTTGTCTTTCTCCATTGAGTAAATAAACTATTGCACAACAGTTAGAATATCACTGTTATCTTTATACTGTTAAGACAGGGTACTATACATTATAAAGTATTGTGACAGACTTAAGTTAACCCTCCATGAGTTACAACACTGAATCTATCTATACCACCAATCAGTGTGATAGTTTGGCACTTCTTAACACTTGTCCATCTCGTCTCTTGAGTCTGTACTGTCACCTGTCATGTTTTAGCCTTCAATTTTTCATCTATTCTTGTCATTTTTTTGTCTTCTATCTTTATCTGTTTTCGTCTTTTATTTTCATTTATTCTATCTCTCTCTTTTATCTTCTATCATCATCTCCACTTTTTAGATAAGTTAACTGCATGTTACTTTTAATCCTGCCTACATGCAGAGACAAACCTCCAGCTGATCTTCCTCTTAGCTTCCCATGGATAACGTTAAGTACCTGATGTTACCAACTTACCAGTGCTGCTAAACCATATATATGACACATCAACCTTTTGTACATATTAATGACCTTTACCTGCGCACGTTACTGGCTCTCTTTGCTTGACCTGTGTTCTTCTGGGGCAGGACCCGTCCGTGCTGCGGCAGAGAGCTCTTCGCCAGCACTCCTTTTTCCAGCTTCACGTCCACCTCAAACGCGGGGAGAACCTGGTGGCTCGGGACGCCTGCGGTAAGCTCCTCCCCCAATACTCATCCTACCAATCAGGAGACACCGCGAGAGCAGGTAGTGACCAATCGTATGTTACCATGTGTGTTAAAAAAAGCTCCTACTGTGATCTAACGAATCAGCGTGCACCATACGAGTGCAGCATGGACCTTCTCTCACCTCTCTTTTTTTTTTTCATAACCAATCAAGGATGACTGACACCTCTTGGCCTGGCCTTTCACGTGGTTAGCAACAGCAACAACACCTCATAGCTCGTAGTGTAATAGATGCAGCCAGCTTGAGAGGATGCAGATGATAGACTAACAGTTATATATTTTACCTAGGCTACAAGTGGTTACCCCCCTTCTCTCTCTCTCTCTCTCTCTCTCTCTCCCTCTCCCTCTCCCTCTCCCTCTCTCTCTCTCTCTCTCTCTCTCTCTCTCTCTCTCTCTCTCTCTCTCTCTCTCTCTCTCCCTCTCTCTCTCTCTCTCCCTCTCTCTCTCCCTCTCCCTCTCCCTCCCTCCCTCTCTCCCTCCCCACTGCCTTCCAGCGCCTCGCTGTTTGCACGACAACAACAAGAAAAGCATTTTGGAATGACATAGTCTGCCTTGCTTAGAACACTTCAGGTGGTACTCTTGTGAGTGTTATTGTTGACCAGCTGTGGAAACCTTTCATGCTTGGTCTCGGAAAACCATTGAAGACATATTCTCACACCCACGATGCATGTGGACGATGGTACTGTACACAGGTCTTGGGAACACACCTGTTAAGCATTTCTTGACTCTTAATACACACACAGCTCACAACCTTCCTCGGATATTTCCACTGCGATGATTTTTTTGGTGTAGTGTAATGTAGGTCTTTTGGGGGCGTTATTGAAGGTCTGGAAACGTAGCGTAATGGTCTTATGGAAACACTTAGGGCATGTTGACTCGCTCACTTCGCATGTGGATGACTATGGGTGAAGGCAGACATAAGGTGGGTAACCAAGTGTGCATGTTAGGTAGGAGGTGGTGCTGTAAGTTGCGGGTTTCTCCAGGCGGGGATCACTTTCACCCATGAACAGGCCTTTGGTCAGTGAGCGTCCAACATTAAGAGACCTACTGTAGATAGACTGTATGTAGCTCGTGGCACCGCGTACCTGGGGCATCAGCTACCAGGGTTATGAAGCATCGTTCGCTAAATCCAACATCCAGTAATTCAAAATAATCTGAAAATTACTTAGTAAAATGTAACCAGACATCTAAAACACCCATGGAAAATAATTAAGATGAAAACTTTTAAATTTTAAATTGAATTACATTGAGTAAATTAAACCTGAACCTTCCATCGACTTAAAGAATCGTCTAAAAATTTATTATTATTTTCTAAGTGTTCATCAGACTATTTCACAGATCATCCTCTTCAACAATAATCATCCACACATACACGACACCCCAGCACTGTGTCCCCCCCCCCTCCCCTCCGTCCCAGGTGACACAGATACGAGGTGTCATGTGTGCACGAACCAAGATGCGACACACCACCTCAGATCATGTGTCTCAGTGCAGTCAAGATGGTCCTCCAGTGAATGTGTTTGAGGAGGACATTCTCAAGTTGAAGGACGAGTATTATAAAGGCTTCTTGGGGCTGGATATTAGGGTTTCTGGTTTTCTTTTTAAGGGAAGACTTGCCTGATTGATGCTGTTTTTTGCTTTATGATAATAATCAGGGTAATGACATCTTATTATTGATCTTAATATAGCGGTACACTTCAATAATAATAATTATTAATGATAATTATACAGTAATAATAATAATAGCAATGGCAATCAAGAATTCGAACCCCCCAAAAAAATTAAATAACAAAATATAATGAGACGTGGCAACAGTGTCGTAATAGTTGCCAAGCCATATTTTTGTTGTACCAAAATGTTCGATGTTGTACCATAATTAATATATATTCTTCATAGCAATAACACGTTTAGAAAGAATAACGCTAATTATGTCATATAACGAGTGGAAACTTTGCATGAAAATTAGCATAGAGAATTAATGAAAGGAATGCTATATTAGTGCACAACAATATACAAAGTTTTTTTACTAGAAGTGCAAGAAAATATAACCTTAAGCATGGTAGTTGATAATTATAAGTTATATTTTATAAAGTAAATTTGTAGTCTTTTAAAATTACCGTAAAACTACTATTAAATTTTTTTTGTATTTTAATGTTCCAATTCTTGTTTTAAATTGAAGGAATGGTATAAATTTGGATAATTTTCACAATTGTTTTTCTTCTATTTTATAAGAGTTTGGTAATTGAGCTAAACCCGCCTGAGGTGACATTGACCTTTGACCTAGGTCCTGTCACCCCCCACACCCCCCCCCAGCTTGAGATTTATAATAAGGTCATCTTTGTTGTCCCTTGTTGGTGACCTCTACTCTGCTCTCCCAGTTGTGTTCTTTCTCATTCATGACCTCTCGTTCATCCCCTCCCCCACGTCCCTCCCCCATTTTATGTACCCATATCTCTCTTATTGTGATTCCCCCCTCACCCTCTCTTCAATGCCCCCCCTCTCCTCCCTTCCCACCCCTTCATCCTATCTCTACCAATCAGCATAATTTAACATGTCTCCTCTTTTTCTCTCCCCTCCCCCACACACAACTCACGATCCCTCGGCTGTCGGGCTGGCTATCTGTCGGCTCCCTGGACTATTGGGCTGGCTATCTGTCGGCTCCCTGGACTATTGGGCTGGCTATCTGTCGGCTTCCTGGATCTATCGGGCTGGCAATCTATTGATCTATCGGGCTGACTGACGCTCTATCAACCCTCTGGAAACCCGGCCTATCGGTCTGTCGGGCGGATTTGGCGGTCGACAGGAACGAGTGATCCTTACGTCAAGTTCAAGGTGCAGGGGAAGTTGGTCCACAAGTCCAAGACGGTCTACAAGGACCTCAATCCTATCTGGGACGAGTCCTTCACGGTGGCTATTGAGGATCCTTTTGAACCAGTTGTTGTCAAGGTGAGCAAAGGGGAGGAGAAGGCTGAGGGGAGATAAGGAAATAGGAGTAGGGGAGTGGGAGGAAGGGGAAAATGGGAATAGGGTAGGGGGGAATGGGTGGTTGGGAAGGGAATGGTAGGAGGAAGGGTTTAATAAGAGGAAGGGAGATTAATAAGTTATATGGTAGGAGGGAGTGGAGATTGGTAGGGAAATGGTAGGAATGAAGGAAAAGGAATGTGAAAGGAGGGAAGGCAGGTAAGGAAGTGGAAGGGAGTTAGAGGCTGGAAGGGGAGGTAAGGAGAGGGAGGGGGAGGTAGGTAGAGAAAGGGGGAGAGTAGTTAATAAACGCTAAACTAATGATCCATTCCTAACATCAGTTAAAGTTAAATTACTACAGGTGTTAAAGTACCTCATTAACCTGTGTGTATCCCCTACAGGTGTTTGACTATGACTGGGGCCTTCAGGACGACTTTATGGGGTTGGCGTCCATCGATCTCGCCACCCTGGAGCTGGACAAGTGAGTTGGGTCCTAGGAGAAAGGGACTCTCTCTCTCTCTCTCTCTCTCTCTCTCTCTCTCTCTCTGGGGGGGAGGGGATAGAATGGTGTGGTTATTGTGTATGTGGGTTTGAATGGTTATGTTAAGTATGGTTTTGTTGGTTTAGGTTAGGTTTGATTCATGTCATCTCTCTCTCTCTAATAAAAAAATAGTAATAAGAATGGTGTAGCAGTTCTGTTCGTGGTATTTCTCTAACACTGCTTATCAACACACCAGAACTCAGATTCTTAAAAGATCCTTAAGGTAAATTTCTCTTAAATGGAGATGTGAGAACACCTCTAACTAGTTGACTTAAGCTGATGCATAAAAGGAATATCCAAAATGAGATTAAAGTTACACTAAGACTCTACCTTAACTTAATACGTTTCCTTAGCACCAGTTAGGAGACAAAATTAACAGACTCTACCTTAACCAGATATGTTCACTTAGCACCAGTTAGGAGACAGAACCTATAAACTCTTAATTATGACCCTAATGACTTGTCTCCCTCCTACAGGTCACACGACGTGGTGTTGACACTGTCGGAGGCCGGGAAGAGCGGGTACATGGGAGTCCTATACCTGGGCCTCACACTGCAGCCCAAGACCCAGGAGGAGAAGGAGCAGGTAAGTCTTGATGTTCTTATTCTTTGGTTACCTGAGAACCCGGATATAATACCACCAAATATACCAATACTGTACCTTAGGGTTCATAGACCCCCTAAATATGGTTAATCGGACCACAAACACTAAATCTAGAGTTAAAGGGGACAATAGATACCCCAAATATAGTTAATAGGACTTCATTCACCAAGTTTTAATTTATAGGGACCATAGACACCAAAAATCTAGTTAATGTCACCACAACACCAAGCGATAGTTACATAAACACAGATGTATGAATATAAGTTAATAGTACCAGAAGCCAGAGTTATGGGCGCCACAGACACCAAGACCCCGAGAAGGAGGTGAGGTTTAAACAAGACTGTGAAAGGAAAGGGTTTTATTGACCTCACCGGAGCAGCAGGCAGGTAGGTAGGTCTGTACAGTCGGGTATTACAGGCTCACAGAAGAACCTGCAGGCCTGTGTCGTGTGAAATGTCTCTTATTTCTGAATATTTTTGTCTAGTTTATGTTGATGTGTATTTTTAGAAACGTATTGTAGTATTTTCAGAACAAGAAAGGAAAATTTTTATTGCCATTGATCCGAAGCGTTGATTAGTTGAAAAGGAAAGCAGCTTTTAATTGTTTTGTCTAATCCTTGCTTGAATCGACATACTGTTTACTATTGTATATATATAAACACTATTTATACCTACTGAGCCACTGTTGATATGTAAGACGATATGATTGCAAAATATGTCAATCTTTCGTGCATTTTCTGAATGAAGCTCATCACAGAAAATGCGTCCTGTTGGGGAAAGAGAAAACGGTGTATTATGGGAAACTCAATACATTGACCTTGCCATGTGTTATCTGTCGGGGTAATCTTGTACTTGTTGATATCGAGGGAGTTGAACTGCTGTTTTACCTCTGATCGTTGAATTGGTAATGTAAAGATTTTTGGTGTGTTAATATAGTGTAGGTATCAATTTTATATCGAATTATTTTCGTATATACTGTAGTTATTTAGTGCTCGCTTCTCGTTAGTTTTGTCATGTGATGTAGTGGACTGATAATTAAAAGTCTTGTTTATTCAGTTAACCACACGATTATTGATTCATGACTTCGTTCATCCATCCATCAATTTGTTTATCATTTTATCCATCCATCCATCCAATTATCTATCATTTCAGCCATTCATCTGTTTATTCATCCTTCATCCATCCCCTATCGCCCCCCCCTCACTTAACTTACCTCTATTAAAGTTACACAATTAGTCCAACTCTCTCCTAGAAACAACATCTCACACCGTCTTGTCTGGGGTGTTAAGGAGGTGACAAGGGTGAAGGGCCCAGTCTTGAGAGGTCCTTCGTGAAGCTGGAGGTGGTGTTGGGGGCTTGGAGGACGTGTGGATGATGTTATGATGTCCTATAGTTCAGGGATTCAAGGATTAGATTAAGGACTTGGGGTTAGATCCTGAAGGTGTTGAGGGGTGGTAGGATTTTTTCAGGTAAGGTTCACCAGAGAGGAGTGTTGAGGTATCGTGAAGAAGGCTCTGAAGTAGGAGAAATGGGTGGGGGAAGGTTGGAGGTATCCTGAAGAGATATGGGTGTTGTCAGGGGGGACGGGGTGGTGTCGTCTGAGGTACCTCCTACTTCTGCTTTATCCTCAGGAGATGAGAGAGGTACATGTAGCAGGTGAACGCGTGGGAGAGAGGGAGGGACGGGGGGGGGGGAAGAGAATGAGAACCAATGATGGAGGTAGATTGCGTGTGTGTGTGGGTGGAGTGACGCCCACGGTAGATGCGTCGTCGTCAGCAGCAGTAGTAGTAGTAGTGTGGGAGGGCTCGAGCTCTGCGCAGGTTATCTATCTCTTCATGACGTAATTAATGACGTAAGATGGTATGTGGCGTGACGCAGGCAACTGGACGTCACTCTGGCCTACGTAATACCCGTGACGGCTAGTGTTAAAGACGATACAGTGAGGTGAGATGAAAATAGCAACGTTGTGTTAATCCTCGACGCTTGTCATAGCTGTGTGGCGTCCACTTATAAAACCAGCAATTGATCTAAAGCTTTGACGTCAATCACTCAAGTTAGCCCTCTGACAGGGAGCTGGTCGTGTCATATCATCCAGAGGGAGAGTCACATCACTCAGGTCGTGTCACTTGAAGTATTAAGAAACTACCATTTACTTCGACTTCCCTTAGCAAATGAGAACGTATTTTTCGCTTCCATTAACAATATTGAATTGATTCCTATCTGACTCGCGACATCCGAACCAGGACTCGAACGGTGGTCAAAGGCTTGTTAGTACGGCAGGAAATCCTATCCACAACCTCCCCCTCCCTCCCTCCGGCCTCCCTCCGGCCTCCCTCCCTCCGCCCTCCTCTTATCAGGTGGTTTGGTGTGTAAGTGACATCAGAAGCGGTGAGGTCAGGCGAGGTCACACTATCTGGAGTGGAGAGAAGAGGTCATGAGTTGTGGGCGAGTGATGATGAGTGACCCTTGGTATTCACACACAGTACACACACACACACACACACACACACACATTTTCAGCCTTCTGGCTGCCAAGCTCTTTCAATAAACCGTTAATTATTATTATTACTATTATTATTACAAACCGATTATAATAGTTCTTACGAGAAAATTGCCTCCATTAGGTCATTATATTTTGCTACGACTTAAAAATATTATCGTGCGTGATATTGATGACCTTTGACCTCTGGCTTCTGACCTTTTAGGGGAATTGTTCACGTTTGTGCAGGTAGCAATTTGTTACATGAACTTGGCGCCGTGTGTGTGTGGGGGGGGGCTGTATGCATGTGGAGTGAGTGTGTGTGAGTCTGTCTGTTGTAAATAAAGTTAGTTATTTTTATTTTTATTTTTATTTTATTTTAATATTATTGTTGTTGTTGTTGTATTAGTATTTTATTATTAGTATTGTTGTATTAGTATTGTAGTTATTATTATTATTATTATTACAACTACTTATACTTAAAGTTAACAGATAATTTAGGTCAGTACACTACAGATCCTGAACACTAACAGAACATATGCCATTAAATATATCACAGTGGTCATGGCAGTTATATTAGCGTGTTATACCAGGTATGTTAGTGAATATACGAGTATTAATACTTTAGTGGGATATACTCGTAATACACCACCTTATATGATAGATTAATATATTCATTAATTAAGGGGATGGTATAGGCGTGATATATCGGGATGTTTTAATAGTGTCATGACTGTATATCTGTGAGTGTCATGCGAGGGGCAGGGTTGGCATGTTAGGGTTGTCAAAGGCGTGTGGGTCTGTCTGTGGTTGGGGAGATGGATGTGACCTTCATTTGTTAATTTGACTTCTACCTGTGACCTCCGCCTGACCTTTAAGTCTGTCAAGGTTAGGTTAGGTTAGGTCAGGTCAGGTCTCAGGGTCGTTAGGTTAGGTCACGATAGTTGAGGTTAGGTTAAGTCTCTGGGATCGTAAGGTAGATTTTATTCCTTAACTAGAAATATTACAAGATATCTTATGCTCTTAAATTACGACACAATGATACATTCTCAAATTCTCGTAAGTTAAAATTTCACCTTAACTTGCCTGATTGACACAAGGCTAACAGATGAAAATATATTCCCAAAGGTTCGTGGGATAAATTTATCTTCCCTTTACTCTGACACGTGAGAAGTTACCTAAACTATTTCACTTAACCTCTTGACCTAAAAATGGATTCTCAAAGGTTCGTAAAGTTTAATGAGAAGGCATATTATTATCTGGAGGCCGGTGGTTTAACCCTTTGAGGACGGTGGTTTAACCCTTTGAGGACGGTGGTTTAACCCTTTGAGGACGGTGGTTTAACCCTTTGAGGCCGGTGGTTTAACCCTTTGAGGAAGGTGGTTTAACCCTTTGAGGAAGGTGATTTAACCCTTTGAGGACGGTGGTTTAACCCTTTGAGGACGGGGGTTTAACCCTTTGAGGACGGTGATTTAACCCTTTGAGGACGATGGTTTAACCCTTTGAGGACGATGGTTTTCGTTTTGAGGACGGTTATTTAACCCTTTGAGGACGGGGGTTTAACCCTTTGAGGGCGGTGGTTTAATCCTTTGAGGACAGTGGTTTAATCCCTTGTCGACGGTGGTTTAACCCTTTGAGGACGGTGATTTAACCCTTTGAGGACGATGGTTTAACCCTTTGAGGCCGGTGGTTTAACCCTTTGAGGCCGGTGGTTTAACCCTTTGCCCCTTTGGTAGTTTAACCCTTTGTGTTTAACCCTTTGAGGCCGGTGGTTTAACAACCCTTTGAAGTGAAGGAAGGTGGTTTAACCCTTTGAGGAAGGTGATTTAACCCTTTGAGGACAGTGATTTAACCCTTTGAGGACAATGGTTTAACCCTTTGAGGACGATGGGTTTCCTTTTGAGGACGGTGATTTAACCCTTTGAGGACGGGGGTTTAACCCTTTGAGGTCGGTGGTTTAACCCTTTGAGGGCGGTGGTTTAATCCCTTGTGGACGGTAGTTTAACCCTTTGAGGTCGGTGGTTTAACCTTTTTGTGGACGGTGGTTTAACCCTTTGAGGACGATGGTTTAAGATACGACACGAAATTAAATTTTCAAAAGATCGTAAGTTAAACTTTTCCCGTAAGTATAGACGTATAACTGGCAAATGAACCGTTGATTCTTTAAACATCGTAAGATAGTTTTAACCCGGAAATATGAGACGCACAAGAAATGAAAAAAATGAATATGGTGTCGAAATCACGCTGAGACTCGACCACTACTTAAAATAAATTACAAGGTTTGAAAGTGGCGCCGAATTTGTGCTAAGACTTGACCATAACCGAAGAAAAGTAACTTGAGGTTGAAAATGACGTCGAATTTCAAGACTTGACCATAACGAGGTTCAAAATGGCGTCGAAATCCCCAGGGCCGGATGAAATTTTCCCTCGAGTATTGAAAGAGTGTAGGGAACAGATTAGCGGATCCCTTGTAAACATATTTACAAAATCATTAGACACTGGAG